ATACGTATACTCATACACATAAAATAAAATCAATAAATTAAAAAAAAATCATCTTTTGTTCTCTTAGGACTGCCTTTTTTTGGGAAACCATTCTTTTCTCCTAACTGAAATACTAAGCACAGAACAAACATTTGTTTTAAGAACTCCTGACTATCCGTTCGCTCAGCCCTAAGAGAAAATGGCCTAAGGCAGACATTAGGCAACTTCAGGCAGTGGCTTAATAAAGAGCACCCCCTTGATTGACAAAGGATCTCCAGGTGCCTAACAACTCCCAGAAATAAGCTTCATCATGAACTAATTTATACCCAGCATGTAGGCAGATTATCATTATGAATATTATTAGAATGATCAGATGGCACTGCTGCAAATGTTATTTGAATGTACACCACTTTCTGTGTGCTGTTCTTCATGACTTACTACTGATGTTCCTGTGATAGTTCACTGAGATTGGAAAACAAGATCACGAGTCTCAGGGACCAGAGGAACCTCAAAATAAAGGGAAATTTCAGCTCCCCACCCTTGTTCCTCTATTACTAGTTAAATGGCCTGAGGATTTGTTTACTTAAATTATTAGTTTAGTGTGTGTCAGTATATGTGTATGCTTTCAATTTAACACTAGTTTTCACACATCACAATCTTTTTAAAACATGAGTAACATGCTCAAAAATCTAAGGATTTATTTTGGTGATATTATATTCTTTCTTTTAAAGATTTATTTTATTTTATTGTGTGTATGTATGTATGTATGTATGTATGTATGTATGTATGTGCAAGTGCCCTCAGAGGCCAGAAAAAGGACACTGGATTCCCTGGAGCTGGATTATGGAATTATGGAATTATTTGAGCAGCTGGTGCGGGTGCTGAGAACCGGCATGTGTGCATACATACAGGTCTTTTGCAAGAGCAGTATGTGCTCTTAAGCACTAATTTGGTGATATTATATTCTTTCTTTTAAAGATTTATTTTATTTTATTGTGTGTATGTATGTATGTATGTATGTATGTATGTATGTATGTATGTGCAAGTGCCCTCAGAGGCCAGAAAAAGGACACTGGATTCCCTGGAGCTGGATTATGGAATTATGGAATTATTTGAGCAGCTGGTGCGGGTGCTGAGAACCGGCATGTGTGCATACATACAGGTCTTTTGCAAGAGCAGTATGTGCTCTTAAGCACTAAGCCATATCTCTAGCCTGTGTGTTAGATTCTTGATGCCATAACAAGTACCAAAGAGAAACAACATAAAAGGAGTAAGATTTATTATGACTCAAGGTTTCAGAGGCTTGAGCCCATAGCTGGCTCTTCTCTGATTTCTTAGTATGAATATTGACTCCACTATAGTAGATATGCTCCCCAATTGTATTATAAAACTTTCCAAATACACAGCAAAACTGACAGATTATGTACAAACCATCTGGATTCTATCATTTTATAATTGTTATCATATCTCTCTATCTGTCCCTGTCTATATCAATCAATTCATCTTTTTTGGGATTGTTGAATTGTAAAGGAAAACATACATACTAATACATTTCTCCACAAATATGATAAATATAAATATTTTTATTTCTAGGCAATGAAGGTTCCGATCCTGAAATTTTGCTTACCATTTTAAAAGCATTTAAAAAGCACCTGTCCCTCCTCAGTCACATTAGTATTCACTGCATCAGAAAACAATAGTCTTACACTTGAGAGGAAGTGATTAAAATAACATACTAGGTTTTCAGAATCATTGTTTCCATGCTGATGAGATGAGGCTGCCTGTGACACATTCATTTATGTGACACATTCATGTGAAAAGGCTTGCTCCTTCATTAAATCACTATTTACTTGTCCCTGTCATAGTTTCTTTTTGTTTATGATGAAAAGCTCTTGTTTGGCAATAATTTCCCCTTAGGCGTTTCTAGAAGGTATGCAATTTCACAGATATGGAAAGGTAAACAACTACTTTCTAAGCTTATTTTAGGTAAAGTTGCATTTTTCTTTTGTAGGTATCTTCCAGCTTAATGATCTTTTTTAGTCAGACTATTGTTAGATTTTATTAAAACAAACACTTTGTTGAACGATTTATACTTTCAGGGAACATTTCTTCATGAACATCACTAATTATGACCATAAAAGTTACATGAGAAATAAGTTTTAAGGTTTAGATTCATTTTAATTTGGAGAAAGGTATCCAGCAAATATTTATACTTGTTGGACTTGCTCTACAGGAAGAAAAAAACAAAATTGCATGCAAACATTCATTTTAATAATCTACAGAGCATACTCGTCTATTACCAAAACTTTATACTATAGCCTTTATATGCTGGATTAAATTTAAGAGTGTAGTATATAATTCTTCTTTAAAATAGTCTATATTTATTGTTATTTTATGTGTATGAGTGTATTGTCTGCATGTATGCAAGTGCACCTGTGTAGTGCAATGCCAGTGGAGGTCAGAAGTGGGCATCAGATTCCTCTGGAATTGGAGTTATAGTGGAATGGAACCCAGGTCCTCTACAAGAGCAGCAAGTGCTCTTAACTGCTGAGCCATTTCTCCAGCCCCCTCATTCTTCTTTATCACAAGAATCCAACCTAGACTTCGGCAATCTGAGCCCCACATGCGTGATCTTAGCTATATCCCCAATCTCCCTGGGCTCCTTTTCTTCATCTTCAATTTAAAATCCTCCACGTTGATCTTTATTATTTAGTGCATTCTTAGAAAGTATATTAAAATGACTAGCCAAAGCACAAGGAATGCAAATAGGCATTTCTTTTACCCTAAAACTTCTTGGCAGTATATTAAACCACAGAATGTTTCCAACTTAGGCTATCTAATTTCTAGTGAACTTACTTTTCTTTTTTCATAATGCTATATATATATCCCACTAGTGGCAGGGGGACTAGTAAACTTCATTATAACTGAAGTACTGCAAAACATTCAAAAAGAGAAACATGAAAAAGTTAGCGTTCTCCAAAGGAAGCATCCCAGATATGACCACACAGAAAAATTAGAATCTAATAACAATGCAAGCAAGCAACAGTTACTCTGTCAAGGAAGCACCCCCACGCCCTGCCACCAAATTTTCAAACAACGTTTGAAGGAAACCAATGAGCACGAAAATTTCACTTTAGTAGAAATAAGAGCTTCCTAAGGTCAGAGGCCACAGAAATACAAATAACTGCATTAAGTCAGAGAGGCCAAAGCCACGGTGAGGCCTCCATGTGCACACTTCCGAAACTTCTATTTCACTTATGTTTATCTTTTGGGGCTCTTTAGGCAAGAGGTTAACTCATTAATTTTCCCTAGGAACAGGGAAAAACCTAGCAATGAGCACACAGAGCAAAGCCCTAAGTTCAAGTAAATGTGACTTAGTGCCAACATTTTCAGGATATGCTGGCACACGAAGACTGCTTCACTCAAGATGAAGCGTCTCTTGAAATATGCTGACGTCATTCAGATAAAAGACAAGATCCAATTACAGATAATAACTTTTGCAAATATTGACATTACTTGGCTTCTGAAACTCCTGTTTTCCAAAGGCCTCACTGCTATGTAGAGTTCAAAGTGCTGCTTCATATACAGACAAAATTAATTACAGAGCAGGAATACATCTACACGACAGTGTACCTCCTCAAGCCTTAACCATTCTGAAGCTCCCTCTTTTGAAATAAACACTTGTCAACCAGCCTATTCTTGTAGAGATGACAATTTTCAGTTATTCTGAAGGCAGAATGCACAACCAACAGCAGATAAGTGATCTTCAGGGAAGAATAAGAAGCAGTAGATCAGATAGCTTGTCCAAGAACTGTTACCACTGGTTACTAGACCTAAGCAACCTACTGATCAGCTAAACCCTCAGTTACTCATTTATGATAATGCTCCCTTTACAAGATTGTTCAAGAAAAAAAGAGAAGGCACATTAAAGTCTTTGAAGAATTGCATAATACTATAGCAAGCATATTATTACTAAAGTCAAGCCCTTTCATATAATCCTTCCTTTTGGTAAATAGAATTCAAAATTCTGTAACTTTCTCTTATAAAACATATCATATACAAAAGCATAGTAAGTGTATATAAACAACTAAAAGAGTAATAACTTTTTACAGTTTTTAGGCAAGCAGTTAACTCATTAATTTTCCCTAGGAAGTGGGAAAAACCAGGAATGAGAGCACAGAGTAAAGCCCCAAGTTCAAGTAAATGTGAATTAGCTCCAACATTTTCAGGATATGTTATACACCGTCATCCTAAGAAATGGAACATTACTGACATAATGAGGACCCCATGCACCTATACTATTTCATTTCCTTCAGACCATTGTAACTTTTGTGCTAATCACTTACTGGACTTTATTCACAATACCATAACATTTATGTGTCCCTCATCTATCCAATCATTCATTTTCCTTCCCTCCATCCTGTTTTATGAATATATATAATTGACTTCAACTCCTACAGCATTTTTCTCACAGCAGTTTTTTGACGTTATTATTGAATTGCCGTACAATTCCTAAGGTTGAAGGAATATTTTATATGCATATGAAATAGAAAAATGAGTTACAGTGAAGTTAGAAGTTTGTCACATGACATGAAAGGACAGTGGCCAAGTCTTTCTATAGTAAGTATGAAAGTAAAGCAAACCAATAACCAATGACTGTCCCAGAGCTTTATAGAACACATTCATATATTTAGCTTCAATTTAAACAAAAAATATTCCTCTAGGACTAGGAACAAGATTAAATTAACATCTTTATGTTGACTACATAGCTGTTTGGTTTTATTATCATATTAAACAGCAAAGTATATTAAGGTATACTGATCATGTAAAGGTCCTAAACAGTATTCAATATTTTTTAAAAGGAAAACAAGAACAAATTAGGTTAAATCTACTAATAGAAGTTTTTTTTTTCCTTTTAAGAGATAGACTATCAGAAAACAACCATATTATGGAGTAGTCTCATTAAAGATGGCTCTTTAAATAGATAGTCTGATACAAGACAATCCAAAGACATCATTCACCTGAGCAAGTGGTGGAAGAATCTCCTTGCATATTTGCTGATTTGGTCTCTATATTCCAAAATAGTTGTATCCAGAAGCGGTCTTGTTGGAGCATAGAAGGTTCCAAGGCTTGCCTCAAGCTGTGCTGTGGAATTCAGACATAGCAGCACTAAAACAAGTGAAACTCCTTTAATTACAACAGAATACTCATGTTTGCAGTCAGTCAGGTTTTGCAAACTTGGATGAAATGTGAGCTTGTTGCAGGAAAGATGAAATTAAAATATGACAGCTGGTACAAAAACAAACCTGTGTATAAACTTTCACTTGAGGCAAAGCTGACAATGACTCTGAGCAACAAAAAGCTGTCAAAACTGAAGAAATCCATAATGAACCAACCTCTCACCACAAATGGGTAATTAAAACAGTGACTCATCAAGTAACACAGTTTGAACTAGTATTTCCAGCAAAATCAATGTGCAGTGTGCTCAACATTTGCTCTCTTTAGTGGAAAGGAGAAAACTAACCTTTTCACACAGGGAAATGAAATCAATGCCACAGAAGTGTTTTCTTAAACAATAGAAATGAGGGGCCAGTGAGATGGCTCAGTGGGTAAAGACACCTGATGCCAAGCCTGATGACCTGAATGCAATCCCAGGACCCACACAGGGAAGGTGAGAACTGACTCCCACAAGTTGTTCTCTGACCTCCACAGGTGCACTGTGCTGTGTCACCCAGACTCAGACACACGTAAAATAAATAAATGTATTTTTTTATTTAAATGTCACAACTAAAAACTGGCATATTGGAGTAAGATATGTCCGTGTTTCAATTTTAGGAGAACAATGAGAGTCCTTGGATCTTCTCTAAATCCTGCCCTCAACAAGATTCTTTGCTTTGTCCTTGTGTCAAAGCAAGCACCCTGGGATAAGGGAAGATTGGAAAGAAGGTTCTGATGAACGGGGAGGGGGTAGAGATTAAGAGAGAAGGCACATTTGTCAACTTCACAGTTTCACCAAGACAGGGCTGTGCTTCCTCCCAGAAATACCTGGAAGTCAAGTGATGACCGTATGGTAAGAATGAGTGTGTATTAGAACACTGCAGTTCACAGCTAGATTCTGCTGATATTTCAGCTCCCAACAATTGGGTTGAATAAACAATTCATTATTTAGCAAAGCTCTTTTTAGTTGTGGGCCGAATTAAGTTTCGAAGTAGTAAATACCTCATCAGAATAACTGCTACTGACTTGACTAAGCTCCAGTAATTTCTTTCTTTCTTTCTTTTTTTTAAAATCTCAAATCTAGATGGTACAGTAGGATGCATTTTGGAGGTATTTTCTCTTTCAAAGCAGCAGTCAATTTAGATTAAAATTGAATGTAGCAATGCTATTGTGAAAACAAGCCAGATTCTCTTGCCATTGCTTGTTTTCTTGACAGCATGCTTCATACATCTGAAATGCTCAAACCTACAAGGAATACTCCTAACCCCCAGCATAGTCATGGATTCATTAGACAGCCCAGCTTGATGTTTAAGGCAGAAATGAAGACCTCAAAGATACCACAACATGGCTACAAATAAGAACTCACTGGGTTTCACTAATAAAAGGACAATGAATTACCATGTCAAATTTGTTAGATTCAGATAAAATAAATCTCAACAGGGAATTCTGAATGTTTTAGAAATGTGTTTTGTAGTTACTTGAGGAGAAATGCACAAATCTACTTAACATGTACACATTCTGATAAACCAGGATACGCACACATTTTAATAGCCTACTATCATAAAAGCTTTTCATTTCTCCATCTCCCCAGTATGATTCTGTGAATACATCTTTTACTAGAGTATGAATCTAACAATGCCATTTGCATGTTTCTTAATAATTTTTTTCTACAACACAGCACTCTCACAATACAAATTCATAAGGTGCTAGCAATTTCTCAGTGTCCTAAGTAAGACTCAATATTTTACCCTTTCCATATATCTTCTTTACCTATAAAGTCAGGGTCTCTGATGCATACTACGTGCATCATTATGGATGCTCTTTGGTTGTTGTTGAAGTATGTACTCAATCTTGAGAAGTGTAGCAATACTAAGAAATAATTACTTGAAATAACTCTGCATGCTGAAATACAGTAATTCAATATACCCCAAAATCTTGGAGCTATACTTCTTATAACTAATATTCATTGAGTACCTACTGTAGGCCACACACTGTGGTGGGCATTTTCTTAGTGGTGAAATACTAGCATTCCCATAGATGAGTTTGGACTACTTCCAAAAAGTTCACTTAATATTAAATACATATTTATTATGGCACTTCTGTGAATTAGGTAAAGACATGCAATATAACTTCCTGAGGATCATGAGTTTACTGGTTAGTTGCAGAATTTTATCCAAAAACTTATTATTTTGGAAATGTAATAAAAATGACAAAAATCTATTAAAATGCACTGAAAATAGTAAGAGAGAAATCGTTCTCCAGTAAGGACTTTTTGACATATATCCTGTTTTTTTAATCTAAAAAATTATTTAGGACTAGCTTCTCTTTAGTCATTATCTCCCAACATTAATATTAATACCACAAATGTATGAAAGGCAGGTACAAAGGTTGGATGTTTTGGTGCATTTTACACTAGATAAATGAATACAAACTCATAAAACATATACTAGGAACTGGCAAATATAAAGATTTATTTTCATTATTGTGTCATTTTTTTTCTTTTTTAAAAAATATTTTATGGGGCTGGAGAGATGGCTCAGTGGTTAAGAGCACTGATTGCTCTTGCAGAGGACCTGGGTTCAATTCCCAGCACCCACATGGTGACTAGAAACTGTCCTTAACTCCAGTTCCAGGGGAATCCAAAGCCCTCTTCTGACCTCTGCAGGCATTGCACAACACAGGTGCACTCACATACACACAGGCAATACCCGTGTCGTGCAATGCCCGTGGAAGTCAGAGGAGGGTGTCACATCCCCCAGAAGTGGAGTTAAGGACAGTTTGTAGCCACCATGTGGGTGCTAGGAATCGAACCTGGGTCCTCTGCAAGAGCAGTCAGTGCTCTTAATGAGGAGCCAGCTCTTCAGCCTCCATTTTTTCTTACAGCGTTCTCTCTTTCAACAATAAACGTCCTGAGTTCTACGGACAAAATTACTAAGCAAAGGTGAAGAAAACCAAGCAGGCAGAAGGGTTGCGAGTGTCAAAGCACAAGTCTGAAGAGTGCAAACAAGGAGCAGCCTGGGCTACATGCAATTCTGATGCACTCAGGAAGTATGTAAAGGACTATTACTATCTGACAGAAGCCTTGTATGTGAGAAAAAGCATTGATGTCTGATATGAGAGAGGAATAAAGACCTTTGTTTAGCGTCATTTGTCTACCAGACCCAAGAGAATACATGAAATCTCTGATCAAAGTTTGAAACCTGAGCATATTCGACACGTGAGCTTGAGTGACTTGTACAATGACTATACTATGAGTTTTGACATAAGCATAGACAGAAAAATTGTGCTTTATGTTGGCAAATATCAAACAGTAAGTGCCATAGGGGAATACTTCTTTGATATCTGGAGCTTTCACTTTTATATGGCACTAAATGTTTTGTCCTTCAATCTCCAATAACATAACTCAAAAACATTCTACAGCTGACTCAAACAATGCACTTCATGATTACACAAAGCCCACCCACTTATGCAATACATGCTGTCTGACCTTCTCTCTCTGGCGTGAGTCTCTGTCTGAGGAGATGGTTCACGATGGCACTCATACTGATGAAGCACTGCTGACCCAGGGTGTCCCAGTTCATGCTGCTCAGGATGTTTATGGCTCCACATATCTCATCACAGTGGATGTACTGGAAGATGAGATCTACTAGCCCCAACTGTCCTCGAGTGAGAATACCTGTCACAAAACATGGAAAATCGGTGAATCTTTTAAAATAAAAAATAAGGTAATATAAGCCAGGTTAACTCTTCTACAAAAGGGCAAAACCCCCACTAATTTCTGGTATCCATGCTAGAAGTATAGGACTGATCCCATTTACAACCAATATTTACTATAAAAATATCTTGGGGAAATGGAGAGATGGTTCAGAGGTTAAGAGCACTGACTGCTCTTGCAGAGGATCAGGGTTTGTTTCCCAGGACCCACATGATGGCTAACAACCATCCATAACTCCAGTTCCAGGGAATCTGACACTCTCTTCTGGCCTCCGTGGGCAACACGTGCACAGGTACACTTACATTCAGGCAACACACTCATGTAATGTACAATAAAAGTAAATAAATCATTTTTTAAAAACTCTTGAGACAACAGGGTCAAACTGGTTTATCTTCTCAAAAGAAAAGAAAATTCACTTGTAACCTTAGAAGAAAGGAACTTTTAAAAAATATATTTTTTTAATTTTTTATGTGTATGAGTATATTGCCTGCATGTATGTGAGAGCACCTGTGTTGTACAATGCTGCAGAGGTCAGAAGAGAGGTCGGATTCTCCTGGAACTGGACTTAAGGACAGTTCATAGCCACCATGTGGGTGCTGGGAATCAAACCTGGGTCCTCTGCAAGGGCAGTCAGCGCTCTTAACCACTAAGCCATCTCTCCAGCCCCAAGAGCAGGAACATTTAAAAACAAGCTCAGGCCAAGTCATTGAGCTCTAGTTTTATTTAGAAATGCTAACTGCATTTGAAACTAATGATTTATAAGTGTTTTAAAAAATATTTTATTTACTACTTTCATTTTAGGCATATGAGTGTATTGCCTACATGTACGTAAGTGCATTATGCCCACGGAAGTCAGAAGAGGGCATTAGATTTCCTTGGAACTGGAGTTAGGAACAGTTGTTAGCTACCATGTGGGTGCTGGGAACTGAACCCTGGTCCTCTACAAGAGCAGCCAGTGCTCTTAACTGCTGAGCCATCTCTCTAGACCCATGATTTACAAGTGTTAAGTGACAATAACTACTAGGGCTTTTAAGCATCTCTCTGCTTTGTTTTTTTTTTTTTTTTTCATTTTTAAAAAATGGAACCAGGAGGAAGGCTCAGCTGATAGCCTGCTGAGCAGGCATGAGGACCTGTGTGCATTTAAGACTCCAGAGTCCACGTGAAAAGCCGGGTGTAGGCATGCACACCATAATCCCAGTGCTGGGGAAGTGAAGGCACATGGGTCCCTGGAAACAATTGAATCTAGGATATTTCTTCCACGAGCTTCTATGGACTGGAGAGATGGCTCAGCAGTTAAGAACACTGACTGTTCTTGCAGAAGACCCAGGTTCGAATCCCAGCACCCACATGGCAGCTAGCAGCTGTCCTTAACTCCAGTTCCAAGGGATCCAATGGCCTCTTCTGTCCTCCACGGGCATTCCACGACACGAGTGCACTTACCTACATGCAGGCAATACACACATACACTTAAAATAAAAATAAATAAAATTTAGAAAAATTGAATATTAGGCCAAATATTTCAATATTTGGAGATTTTCTAAATATTTTTTGTATTGAATTCCCTTGGAGTCAGAGAAGTAAATCTATTTGCATGATTTCAGATCCTTGAAACGTATTATTACATTTATATGTAATAATACATATTTTATTGTTTTATTACTCTGAATATTTTTAGCTTGGTTTATGTTACATGTTACATGTACACCCAAAAACAAAGCTTTAATCCCAGCACTCAGGAGGCAGAGGCAGGCAGATCTCTGTGAGTTCAAGGCCAGCCTGGTCTACATAGAGAGTTCCAGGACAGCTGGAGCTACAGGGAGACCCTGTCTCAAAAAGACCAAAAAAA